GATGACTCGGGACTGGACTCGGGTCAGTTGTCCGCTCATATTATTAGTGCTCTTCTTGAGACCGACTCGTCGTCACGGCTCCTCGAATGTTCAGGGTTTGATGACTCGCGGGGGGTGGGGGGGCAGTCTAGTTTCTTAAAAGTCACCCCTCGCGGTTGAGTTTGTGATCGTTTGTTTGTTGTTTGTTACTGGATTCCAGCTGTGCCCGCGTCGTCATCTCCACTCATCCAGGGTCAGTCCAACGATATAACATCGGGTATCCCGCCGTAAATAGCCGCCACCGCAGCTTCAGTGCTGCTCCGGCTGGCCACCACCCCGGGATGCGTGTGTGAGGAGTGTGAGCTCGAATGTGAGGACGAGTGTGTCGAATGAGTGTCACGGAGGCTGCTGGATGAGACCAGGCTGCTGGTGCTGCCCGAATTGCTCACCCCGTTGGTCGGCGCTGTCAGCGAAGGCGCAGAGGAGGCTGCCGATTGGTCGAGGAACAGGTGGGAGGCGGAGGAGGAGGTGGTGTAGGGCATGAAGCGGTTGAGAAGCAGCTCGTGGTCTTCTGAGGCCGAGGCAGCCGCCGCTGCTGCCATAACCATGTTGTAATGCTGAAAGGAGGCAGAAACAGAAGCAGGGAGGGGGTGTTAGTGAGGCACAAAGTCCTGAAAGACCCAGATGTGGGTCAGTTTAAGTCTGAGAGTAGTTCAAATATCATTCACCCATCTGCATATCCTGCTTTTATGTTTCTCATTTACTAACAACACATTCAAACAGCGAGAACATAAGAGAAGAATAAGAGAAACATAAGAGATTACTAAACTATCCCAGACAAACAGACAGAACTCTAACAGGCAATCATTGTGCATTTCACGCAGGTGAGCTGTTCTGCATAAGATACAGCTTAATAACAGACAATGTAGTGCTCTGTCATGGTGAAGAGAGAGGTGAGTGTAAAAGCAAAGATGTGCCTACGCTCAAATATGGTCACAAGCTCTGGGTAACGACCGAAAGAATGAGATCATGGATACACGTGGTGGAAAAGAGATTTCTCAGAAGACCTCCCTTAGAGATAGGGTGAGGAGTTTAGCCATTTGGGCAGGGCTCACAGTAGAGCCACTGTTCATCCACATCAAAAGCAGCCAGCTGAGGTGGCTTAGGTGTCTGACAAGGATGCCTCCTGGGCATGGTGTTCCAGGCATGTCCCATTGGGAGGAGGCCTCAGGGTTGCCCCAAGACACGTCAGAGAGATTCCATCTCTTGGCAGGCCTCTGCTGGCCTTGCTGTTTCCTCAGATAAGCTGGAGGAGGTTTAGAGGGAGGCTGCTGGCTCCGTGACCCAGCCCCGGATCAGCAGAAGACAATAGATGGATGGCGTTCCATTTTACTAAAGTGTGTATAGTGTGATCTTGTTAGTTTCACTTCACAACAACAGTCATCTATCTCAAGGTTCTTTGTAAGGTAAGGTAATACCTAGGTATGGTAAGATAAGACTTAGGTATACCTAAGTCTTTGTAGATGGATGGCGTTCCATTTTACTAAAGTGTGTATAGTATGATCTTGTTAGTTTCACTTCACAACAACAGGTAATACCTAGGTATGGTAAGATAAGACTTAGGTATACCTAAGTCTTTGTTTATATGGGACAGAGATATCCCATATAAACGATGTTTAGTGAGAGTGGGGAAATAGAACTCCCATTAAACAGGAAGCGACTTTTACCTGAACCACAGAGAGTGTGAAAGGTGGAAATAGTCATCTGCTGTTTCTGAAGTCATGACTTGCTCCATTATAGAACACATTATGACCAGGAATCAAAAAACAGCCAAGCCAACTTTATTTATAAAGCACTTTAAAAACAGCAACCACTGACCAAAGTGCTGATAGGCAGATAAATAGACTGAATATGACCCAAAATGAGTGACTTAGCCCATAAACTCAGCAAGAGAGAGTCAAGAAGACAGAAAGAAGTTTCCCTTCAGACTTCTACATGACCCAAAGTCTGGAAAAACAGATATCGCCATC